CCACTGTAACATGATTACTTTCAGGGAGGGTAGCAAAATGGTTACACATATAAAAAGAAATTTCGACTTGGTAACCATTTTGAGCTACCCAAAGGAGAAAGAGTTCCTCTTTGGTGATCCTACCCGTGTTTGCACTTCTGCCGAAAATGATCTTTGAAAAGAACCTGTGAAGGATCCTTAAGGCCCTATTTCGGATGGAATTGGTGGTACAGACATACGCCTTGAAAGGTTATGCGTCCCCTATTAAAGATATCCTTGCTTCCCTCTCATTGTACCCAACAGGTGGGCTGTGACTTGCCTCCACTGGTGTACTAAGAATGCAGTTGAAGGATGTTATGGTGGTTCTTATTTTGGAAAAGTTTAGGTTGAAGGTAACTTGACCAACGGCATGAGAACTGCACGGGTTATATCCAAACCTAAAACTAAAGAGGAACTCCAGTTTTAATCTCCTATAAGTCTCACTCCGTATCAACAATAAACCTTTCCATGCCATCTTATTAAGAGGTTCAGTGCTATACCTAGTGGTTCTTACCTTGTGTGTGGACTAAACTAGGACCAAATTGATGGTTGGATGATTTTGTATTGGTCTCGACAGGCACCTTATACATTGAGGAGGAGGCAAATGCTTCCTTCTTTTTAACGTGAACTCATGTGAAGAAGTGTGGGCATGTCGAGGAGCCATGGTTTTTGTTGGCTGGGTGGAGAAATGAGAAAGAAACTAAGCGGCTGAGTTTGTAAACACACAAATGGGGATTCAAATATTTGAAAAGGAGGGAGTGGACATTTATAGCATCAAATTGAAAAAGATTTAAAAACGATACACCTAGTAAGTTGCATACAAAACACATGTCTCAAGTTAATATAAAAATTTGACAACTGTAAAAGAAGTAAGTTGGAAAGCTTACACCTGGAAAGTGGGCTTCTTATTAAAAAAAAAAATGATGCAATCACGTCTGTCCAGTGGAGGTGAAATGACCTATATAAGGGTCACTCGCAAGCTCCTTTCACCACATGTATGCATAGCTGTCCCACTCCATTTCTCCTTTCCTTTTTTTTTTTTTCTTATGATGACATGTGGCATCAGCTAAAGTTACTCCCTTTTCCTTAGTGCTCCATAAACTTTCCTTGAAAATAAATAATATAATACAATTTTTGAATTGAAAATGCCAGTAAAACAAATAAAAATAAATAACAAAAAAAAGTAATGTTAAAGTAATAAAAATAAAATAACACACAATTAATAATAACAATAAAACGTAAATGCTCAAAACGCACTTCCTTCCAACCAATTCCTTCTTCATTGGCCGAAAAAATTCACAACCCATTAAATGACTCCATCCTAACAAATAGCTCAAGAAAGTATGCCTTGAGCCATAATTGAAGCATCCACATCACCTTTGCAAAGAACTATAGTTCTCTGATAGGTTTTCCAAGCAAACATTGTAAAGGCTTGTGTGTAGACATGCTAGCATGCTCTAGCAAGAGCCAATTTCCTGCCTTTGGCTAAAGCCATGATGAGCTGGAGGTAAGATTGCTCTATGTACCCGGGTGGGACATAATACAAGAATCTACACAAAAAGTACAAAAGAAAGGTTATATGCTCTTCTTCATTAGGGTCGAGTGTACTCCTTTAATGGGCCAAGATCCATTACTCATAAGCTGTCACTTCCCTATCAAAGAATAAGGAATGTTTGTATCAGTAGAAATGCGAGGTGTAACATCTTCATTAACTAAAGGAAGGTCGAATGAAGCAACCATATCCAATAGAATGGCCTTCATTAGAGAAAACTTAAAAGCAAACACATTAGTAGATAAGGACTAAAAGAGAGAGGATGTAAGGAGAGATATATTGACCAACAGCTCAAAACGGGAAAGGTGAATGACATTATAAATCCCGAAAACCTGCCAGCAAGCAACATATTTCCTCTTCATTCTCATAAACCACTCTACGTATTCAAGTAAAGGAGAAGGCCAATGACAAATAACCTTGTTAGTATCCTAGATAGATGCATCATTCTTGAGGAAAAATGGAAATCACAAGTCCAGACAGAATAGAGCAAAACGTACAACATCTACGCATGGGTCTATAAGGAAAGAGCCAAGGATGTGGGCATTAGTATCTGGATCTGGATAAACTGCTTTGTTAACAGTTGAAGGGCTATTCTTAGTCATTTGACTAGCTAGGTCTATGTCCAACTCCATATACATTTGATGAAATGCCATAATCGATCGACTGGCTATAGTGAAGATAGAGGCAGTTAAAAACAAAAGGGTAAAAAAATGACTGGCTTTGAAAAAGAATGCAAAGGAGTCAAGTCAAGGAAAGTGGGCCTAAGATCACTATTTATAGCCATTAAAAAAGGGTTATCCCAAAGGACGGAAACTTTTAACAGGAAAGCGCAACTCTTCAAGTAACCAAGCATGTCTTCAAGATAATCTTAGGCTGGCTCTTAATGCATATGGGCCTTTGAATCATTTAGAAGAAGACCATGCACAAGGTGCCTTGTTGATGCTAACCAAAAATTAAGCCCAAACATGAGGCTAGAAATGCCAGAATTAGATGAAAACATCTTATGTGATTGAAAATATACCAAGAGTAGAGGGATAGGAATGGGTCGGGTATGGATCAAATATTATATTACCCTCTTCTCTCCCTCCCTATGAAGTAATATTTATCATCCACCCCACGATCCGCACCGCTATAAGTCAGGGCGAGATGAGGTACCGATTGGGTTGCATAAATCCATTCAAAAAAATTTTGATTTTCATTTTTCTAGTTTTTATTATTGCACCCATTTAATTTACACACACACACACACACATATATATATGAATTTTTGTAATAAATGTTATTTGATATTGTATATTGATTTTAATAAAAAATATAGTGAAAAGCAATTAAAATGAAAATAAAACTACATAATTAAATATGCATAATATATCATAATAAAAATAAAACAAGTTTATAGTTCCACTTCAATATAATAAATAAAAGAAAAAAGTCAAAAATTAAAAACTAATTGTTCAGAATATCAATAGTAAAACCAAATAGCAAAATGAGAAAAACATATATTGAAAGAAGAACCTAATAAATAGGAAGCTATAGAAATTAAAAGAAATAGAAACTAAATTGGATGGATGGTGATTTGATTTGTTACTTCAGTGCTTGAATTTTGATGATATTTAAACTACTAAATTATTATATTATGTTAATTTTTTGTTTACATATAAATTAAAAGAGCACAAGTAAATAAAAATTTAATCGGATTTGATAGAAGTAAAAGAGAGAGATTCTAAAATATCTACTAGATGTAATGTGTCCTCTAATAAGATATGACACAAACATTTATATTACATTTCATATTCTAACTGATGGGATAAATGTCGAATAAGAATCTGGATCATAAATGCAGAGGGTATTAATTACGTGATTGAATGAATCTTTAATCGAGCATTATTCTATTTATATCAGTTTGAGCAACGCTCGATCAATTCTTAATAATTATTCCTATCAGGATCGATTTGGGGCGGGTTATGCATTACCTACTACCAACCCAAATCCATGGCGAGTATAATTTTTAATATTCGCCCTACCCTATTTATTGAACGGATCGAGTAAACTTCACCTCATTAGGACTGGATTGGAGCGAGTATCTGTCGGTTCAGGTTAAATTGTCATCCCTAGCCAAGAGAGCCAATTGGGCCTAAAATCCACACTTTGTAAATATTGTACCCAAGTATTATAGACTTTCGTATGGCCTGACAAAGTATTATAAACATCTTAAGATATTTTTATTTTTCTAAGAGTGCACTACTCAGACTCATATAAATAGGGATTGACGCTAATGTAAATAGCATATGAATCAATACAACAAACTTGAATCCCCTAAGCATTTGCTATATTTTTCATCACATTTTATTGTCTCTCTCTCCAGCTTATTTTCTTTGCCAACCCCTAATTTCTTTAATTTCTTTCATTTCTCTCTGACCTAGTTCTTTTCCCCCTTCTGTATCTTCTTATTATCATCTCCCTTTTTTTGGAGTAGTAGGTTCTTGGTCCATTAATTCATCTTATCCCAATGCATTCCTAATAGACGCAAGCCTAATAGACTCTCTCCACTTTTAGACCTAACACTTTGCAACTACGTTCAAGATATATTTCTTGTTAGGTTTCTTTATTTAATACTTTGAATTCTAGCTTGTGTTAGTGTGAATCCTCTTCTCCTGGTTTTTAATAATAATATTACCTATTCCAACAAAAAGATTATACTAATGATGCAACAAAGTCATATTTTAAGAAAAAACCCTAATCCCTCTCCTTTCTCTCTTCTCTTTCTAGTATTCTAACCCTAGTTTTATTAAAATAAACAAATTTCTACTCTTTCTTTTGATTTACCTTATTTTGTTTTTAATCTTTTATTTACTTTAATAGAATTCAGATTTGTTTTTCCTAAAACATATCTGTCTTTTTTGTTTGTTTTGCTATTGTTGCTTTGTCTCCATGTTTGGAGTTTTTTTATTCCTTCTTTATAAGGGTTATCCCTTCTTTGTAAGGGTTTATTACTAAAAATATGATATTTGACTTTATTTGGTTGGAGACTTTAAATCTTGATTTGCATGTGTGGATCTTCGATCAATGAAGCCTGATAGTGCGGCTAGTGGCGGAAACTTATATGTGCTCGTCATATGTTGTAAATTCTTGAAAAAACCATCCAAATATAGAAGATTCAGAAAAGTTATTATTTTGATGTCCAAATCCATTAACGGACTAGTTACTATTATGAAAATTTATATCTTTTGTCAAGATCAACTCCTAGCGAAAATATATAATATTATATTTTTTAGTTTTAGTTCCATTATTTAAAAGGATATAAATTCATTTATTTCGTTACAAAATCGGCAAACTCTATTAGCTACTAATAGTAAAGTCTTACATCTGGTCTATATGAGTATTTGTAATTCCTCATGTTATTATTAATGAATTATATTTCAAAAAATAATGCAACAAAGTCACTTGCATCTCACATGATAAGAAAAGAAAATATAGCTACAAGAAAAATGCTAGACAGAGAACAGAACATAATTGTTTGGGTATTTGATCAGCTAGCCAATATTTTTTCTTTAAAAAATATAAATCATTGCTTGCATTTGGATATGAAAGAGCAAAAGTTCCATGTTGCCTATAAATCAATATATCCCTATATTTTGCCGGTCTATATGGCTTCCAAATCTTGGGTATTATGTACAAATGCCCCTGGCCAATGTACTTCTCTTTCTCTCTCTTCCCCCCCCTCCGTCTAAGTGACAATTGACAGTCTAACTTCACTATGTCAGGGAAAATCAAGAATTGACAGACCAATCATAGTTTTGGTAGACAATATTGATTGGACCTCCATCTCCTAATAGATGGGTCAAAAGGCCTGCTTTTGTTGCATCCAAGTAGTTGATAATCCACTTGAGAATTTCTTTTTCTTGCCCAAAATCTGCTTTGAACCTGCAATGTACAACAATAATATTAATATTAATTTTCTAAAAAAAAAGTTATGAAAAATAAAAATTACGTTTAGCTATTGATTTCGAGCATTTATCCATTAATTACTTCTTACCACTTAATGACTATTGCGAGATGAACTGTTCTCTTTCCCAAGTCTACTTCCATTCCATTTGTCCTAAAGAATTCTCTGGCAGCATATTTTAGTTCTGCTTCAACTCCTTGTGCTGTGAAAAACCTCACTGCAGGACTTGACCTTGTCCCGTAGCATAGTCCGAAATGAATTAATGGGTTCACTTTTTGAAGAGCTATCTGCCATTTTGTTCAACAACTTATTAATTTGGTTGGATTGGATTAGACAAAATATTATGATCGAGATTGAAAAAGTGTTTGCTTACCTCCAAGCGCTTGTCTCCAGCAGCGAAAGGTCTGAGCAATGAGTAGGCAGATCTTTGATTGTTTCTCAGAATTCCATTCTTGATTGAATTAAGCGAATAAGGAAATCCACCTACAATGTATTGAAAGTCCGAAGAAATTGTTCTCTTATCGATTACCCCTTTTCTAATCACAGAATGGATGACCATAGCATTAAACAAGTTCAAAAAGAATGCCAGTTTCTCATTTGCAGAGAGTTCCATCAGATCCACCCTTTGAAGATCTTGAGCCAAATTTACATATCTGCTTCAATGTCATGCATATAAATATAATTATAGGTGATTATGATTTATAATATATTCACATAATATTTAAAACAAATTCATGGAAAATTCAGTTTATTTGAAAAAATAATAAGGAATTCAATTATAAAATGAATTTTCATATTTAGATTATACAAACAAGTTACTCCACTCATAACTTCAAGGATATGAGTATGGATTACAAAATCAATTGATGTCTCTGTAAATATGAGGTGTTTTATGCGCTAGGTCACTTCTCTTTATATAACTTTACTAACTTACACTTAAAACACATTAATCTCATTTTTTTATATATGCGAAATATGAGAATATAATTTCATAAACAAACTATAGAATTTTACAAAATTAATTTATTACAATGCAAGTAAATGCTGTAAGTTTAGAAATAATACCTTCTAAATTCCTCACTTTTGCTGATGGCTACATAATCAAGATGGCGCCTATCATCAGAGGCATAAGCCTCCAGTATTGCAGACATTATCTTATAAATCTTTTGGCCAATTTTTATTGCTGACTTTGGTTCATTGTCATTTGTACATCCTCGAAAATTATAGCATTTTGGAATGAAGGGTTCGTGCTCGAGAAAACGGTACAAGTGATTTCCATCTTCAAATTCATTTTCTCTGCACAAATCAAACTCTTTGTATTTACAAAACGACCATACATTCTCATCATAATGTATGTAAATAAGTATACGTATAAATTTTCTTACCCAAAAACATGATGAATGAAGTGTTTCCTTGCTATCCGCTTGCCAATCTCAACAGCCTATATTCATTTAAAATACGTTACTAACATGAAAATATTTCTGATGTTTTTTTTATTGTTTCTTTTATGGTAAAAAGCTATATATAACAAAATGGATTTGTGAAAACAAACAAAACTCCATTTTGTTATTTTTACATTTAATGTAATAATTCAGATGCAAATTGACTAACTAAGACCTTAGGTAATTGAATTGATCAAATTAGAATGAACACTCAAATCTCTTATTTTTGTGATCTTGGACGGTAGCTTCCTTTATATATAAATTGCAAATTTGAAACTGAAATGAAATAAAATAAAAATATTTTTAAGTTCACTTTTTGAGAGGGAAATTATTTAATTTCATTAAAAGTTTTCTCAAATTTCTTTTATAATTTTTTATTTTATGAAGAAGTATCAAAATTGATTCTTTATACACACATATATACATCATCTTTTTATAATAGATTGAAATTGAAATGATTTGTAATTATATCCCACACTTGTCTAACTAATCATCAATAATATAAACAAATATATTTACAGCCAAAAAAAAATACATAAATTTATAAATTATTTAAACTTTATCAATTTAAATCACCTCATAAAAAGAAAATAATCTTTTTTAATAATGATTTGAATATAATTGATACTAAATGTTCAAATTTGATATGTAAAAATTTGGAGATGTTTAATTTGTACGGGTCAGAAAAGTAAGAAAATGAAGCTTTGCAGTAGTACTAATTTATAAAGCCAAAAATGGGACCATATGTTGTAATGAATGCCACGAAATCTGCCGAAGTCAAAGGCAATGCGCGTTTTGACTTTCACGAGACACACTCAAGTGGAGCGGAACAAACCATAATTACTAATCACACTTTCTTAAACTCTACTGTCAATCATTTCAACACGTTGGCTTGGACCACTAATTCAAATGTTGTATTGTGTCACTACCAACTAAAATTCCGCTCAATACATAATTTAATCCCTAAAATTTAAAAAAAAAAAAATTGTAACCTCTAAATTTTAGAATCGACTTTATAACGCTTAAAAATTTTCATAACAGCATCACACCTGATCATCATGTTAGTAACAACAGTTTTTTAAAGATTTTTGGTTTTTAGATATAAAATATTGATTTGATATATAATTAGTATAACTTTTGAAACAATAATTTTCATACTTTTTAATTATCCAATAACCATTTAATTTATTTAATTTTATAAATTGAGATGTTTGAAAGTCAACTAAATTATTTAATAATTGTAATTTTATAAATTAGAGTAAATTAGAGTGTTCGATAAACTAAAATGAAAGTTAAGATGCTACTAGATTTTTTCCTAAAAAGTTAACGAGTGAATTTATATATCGGGTCAGCAAATCAGCAAGAGTAATTTGGCACTAATGATTCACATACTTAAGCTTGAGCATACAGCAAATGCCAAATGGCAACCTCTGCTTGTAATTGTGCAGGTAATTAATATCTAAAAACATGGGTCTATATGTACTTGCATTATCATTTACTTTCAACATACCAGCTTGGTTGTTAATCATGCCATCTGCGTGTTCCTCATCATTCATGTTTTCTTCGTTTCTTATCAAACCCCTTAGCATTAATTATTTTCAATTCGTTCTTTTTTATTTAAGTTACATATTTTTAAAACTATATCATTTAATTATATTTAAATAATTAGTTATAATTAGTTTCTTAATCAAGAGTAAGCTAAGAACACGTAACTAAAAATGAATAACATAAACAAAAATTATATTCAAATAAATTATAGAATTAGCTATTAGTTTTAATTTTAAATTGTATGAATTAGGAAAGGAAATTTTATGAATAAATTACGATCATACATTTCTGATTTGAATTAGTTTTAATTTTAAATTTTATAAATTAGGAAAGGAAATTTTATGAATAAATTACGATCATACATTTCTGATTTGAATTAGTTTTAATTTTAAATTTTATAAATTAGGAAAGGAAATTTTATGAATAAATTCTAAAATGAATAACATAAAAACAAAAATTATATTCAAATAAAATTATAGAATTAGCTATTAGTTTTAATTTAAATTGATTAGGAAAGGAAATTTTATGAATAAATTACGATCATACATTTCTGATTTGAATTAGTTTTAATTTTAAATTTTATAAATTAGGAAAGGAAATTTTATGAATAAATTACGATCATACATTTCTGATTTGAATTAGTTTTAATTTTAAATTTTATAAATTAGGAAAGGAAATTTTATGAATAAATTATGATCATACATTTCTAATTTGAATTGTATGATTTGAGGCTGTTCTCATCTTCATCCTCCAACAATATGGAGAAAATCAATTTAACATATCAGTAGATTCATATGCAAAAATCAATTTAAAAATGAAAAAAATAGCACATACAAATTATTCTAATACAAAAAGAAAAGAATGGCTAGAAAAAAAAAGGTGCAAGAGAAGAACTATGATTTGAATCAAATTTTTTATAAATAGATGAATTGGAATTGAATTTTTAGTTTTTCTATAAAATCAATAAGAAATATATCTACAAAAAATATATAAAAATTATTTTTGAAGAGAAAAATATATAATATTTTTAATTGATTTTGAAAGGTTTGCTTATTTTAATATACATAATTCTACAAAATGAAAATCTGGTTCTGTCTATCCCTATAATCACTGTGCCTCTCATTTGACTACTTTACTATTAACCAGAAAACTCCTCTTTACCTATCAGACTAGTCAATAGTCAGCGAGATTGGGCACTTTCCAACTCAAGACTAAAAACGTCAACCCAAAAATCCATAAAAACTGACAACGAAATCGGCGTCTAAACAAGAAACAAGTATGCATAAGGTCCATCAAGAGTAATCTGGCGGCCAAAAAAGCGGGAACATGTGTAAGACAATAAATCATGATGCACAAGATAAAAATGCAATCAAAAAATGGAAACGGAAATGAGAACACAACGGTTAGAAAGAACGAACAAGCCACGTGTACATACCTTCTTTCTGCCGCAATCCAAGTGCTGAATCAGCACCTCTACCATCTGAGAACCCGCAAAACAATTCTTCACGATCTTCATCTTCATCAGACGGTCCTGAATAGGCAATCTCTGCCTCAAAACCCTCACGATCTCCACCATCTCATCCGACGTCGTTTCCTCTTCTTCCTCTGGATCATCAAACCCGTACACAGGAGCTGCCGGAGCATCACCGGAACATTTACTCCCTAACATCTCCTTCAACCTCTGATCGAAACCTCCACTGTTCCTCAACGAATTTAAAGCCACTAAACCACCGAATAGCTTATCATTGAAGAAAATCTGCGGCACAGTAGAAGTCCCCGTTCTCTCTATCAACTCCTTTTCTCTTTGTGGATACACATCGATGTTAATTTCAACGAATTTCAATCCTTTTTCTCTGAAAAATGATCGAACTGCCGTGCAATCCCTGCAATTTGACCTCGAGAAGAAACTTATCCTTCCCTTAATTGATTCATTGTCGTTCTTGAGTCTCACTACCACTTTGAGCCCCGATATGCTGAACTCGGTCACGTCCGGGTCATCACAAGTCATCTTAGTCTCGTCATCGCCGGTTGTATTTCGTAAAGACAATAATCTACTTGCAATCGAAGCCGATAAATTATTGCTTCTCTCTTTAATGAATTTTCCGATAGACGGCATGTCGATTGATAAACTTCCCGATAAAGATTTTGATCTGTTCAAAATATCTCCGTTGCGTTTTGGTTCAATACCTGGTGGTGCCTCTGGCTTTGGGAGTTGAGTGAGAGGCTGGATTATTTGTAGATGACCGTTGTGTCCAACGGCTACATTCTCCTCTTTCGACACGTGACTGGCGTGGGGCGAGATAACTTCTTCAGTATCATCTGATTTCTCAGGCACGTGACTAACGGGAGAGATAGTTTCGATATTTTCCGATTTCTCAGCCGTTAAATCGTTTTCATCCGCTAACTTTGCCTCCTTGATCTCGACTTCACTGAATTCCTCCCGTTCTTGTTCTTCTTGATTATCGTGATTATTTATATTCGAATTCAATCTTGCCGGGATCTCCTCCTCAATAGTTCCGCTTACTTTCCGGCCATCGTCAACTCCGTTTTCTGGCCGGTTGTGTTCTCCATTCGATAGCTCCATTTCTCTGGGGGAAGGGAAGAGAAGTGATAGCTACAGCAGGAGGTGGAGAGAACGATGAAATCGGGAAGATTTAATGGAGGAGAATATATATGGGAGGTTTAACGAAGACATACCATAAAAAACCAGAAAGGGTCAAATACGACACTGATAATCTTTTTGGGAATGTATTTATTTAATTAGATTCGGTAAATAAATAAATAAAATTAGTGTTTTGGTCTTGTTTTGTCTGGGCCTTGTGATTTTCCCACGATGTTGCCCACTCGCCGGCCTATGAAAATGTCAATGAACCCGCCAAAGCGTATTTATCGGAGAAAATTTGTATCATAACTGAAATTACTAAACCATGGTATGGATTGAGCAATTGCATTGGAGCAAAAAGGTTCCCACTGTAATTTCATTTTGTTTGCCTCAATTGCCGTTATGAAGTCAAGGACTCATTGGCCACATTGGGCTCACCTAGAGCGGACCACTAGTTTGATTAAAATCAAAACTGAATTGAAACCAGTTTGATGAATTAGCTTTTACAAATTATTCTAATATCTAGTCTACCAAAATAAAAGCAAGTCTTACAATTGATATACTGACTTCTGGCTACAATCTGTGGGTAATAAAAATCAACTGCACTAAATATGAAGTCTAAATGCTCAAATCATCAATACTTGAAAGAAATTTTAGCATTTACCGATGCTTAAATCAAGAAATATAGAATAAATCATTAAATATCATTCTTAGATTCTCATATTTCAATTAATACCTATTATGCACTTATTCATAAAAGTAAATCCTTTACTTTTAGCAAATATATAAATATAAATCCCATTATTGTCCATTTAATCATGATTCCTAAATTTATTCATTTTCTTGCACTTAGCATAGTAATTAATAAATCATTTGCAAAGTTTTAGGCTTCTATAAACTCAAGGTGCAATCAATAAGACAGATAAATGAAATAAAGACAAAAGGCTCGAAAGCCATAATATAACAGACTAGTGTGGTTTAAAACTTTATAATATTTTTTTATAATATTGCACGTTGTTATTGCTCATTTGTTTACTCATTGTTTATACTTGTCCATTATTTCTTTTTTTTTTAATATTAAGTATTAATTATAATTTTTCTTTTATATTAAAATATGAGTTTATAATGAGATCAATATGAGTAAAAATTGTTAATTATATAATGCATGGATTATAATGCATTATGGGGGCCATATTTTCGAATAAAATTCCAATTAAAATGTTTTTACACCTTCATCAACTCAATTCCAACACATTTAAATGAATTTATGATAAATAGTGGAAGCCGGCTATATATATATATCACTCTTCTTATCTCTCTTAATTAAAATATTTATATTATAATCAAATATTGCAATCGTGATATATATATATATATATAAGCTAAAATTATTGGCTAAAATTTTTTAAAATATGTAACTTCTAATTTACAAAATTTTTCAATCCCTCTCTTAATTAAAATCTTTTACATTGCAATGAAATATTATATATTTTTTTAAATTGAAAGTTTTTGTTAGCCATTTAAAATCTTTTAAACTCTAATCAAATATTATATTTTTTTATTTCTTTTCTATCACTTTTACTAATAAAAAAATTTTTAATCGCCATTTAAATCTTTTAAATTAAATCAAATATTACATATTTTTAAATTTTAATTTTAAAGATTTTTTTCCTTTTCCTTGTCCCCTCCTAATTAAATTTATAACCAAATATTATGTTTTTAAATTAAAATTTTTTAATTGGTCATATCTAAAAATATTATAGGATATCTCAAATGAATTTTACTAAAGATATTTTAGGATATCTCATTATTTCCCATTATTTCCATATTTATATATAATATAAAACTATAAATATTATGAGTAGGTGATCTATATTAACGATGAAGCCTAATCATTACTGTCCTTGGTTTAATGTTCTTTGCATGATTTATTTTATATTATTTCTTATTTTTTTTTAAGAAAATAATGCTTAATTTGGCACCTTGAACCACTTAAAATATATAATTTATCCAATATTGAGTTTTTTTTTTTTTATAAATCAGTATAACTTATTTTTTTCTTGTTAATAAGAAAAACGAGCCCACTTGTCCGAATCAATTTTTTTCATTTTCTTTTCTAAAACTGAGTCTCCTTCACTTTGGAGTCTCTCATGTTTGGTATTTTGACATGGAAGTATCTACGCAAGACGTGGGCTGATTGAGTATCCAATTTCCAAGTCTTTCGAAGGCTTAATCTTGAAATTGAATGCGTCAAAAGACTTTAATCCAACTTACACATTTGGCCAACTCTTAACTAGTCAACGAGTTAGGCAGATTATATATAATCATAACATGCAATAATTTAGAAAATATTACAATTAAAATATATATCGTGATAAAAATGAATCTAAATTTAAATATTTTTAATTAATCTTTCAAGTTACTAGATATTAGCTAATTGTGAGAGCAATTCACTATTTGAATTTTTAAACTTATAAAATTAAACTTAAAAGAAGCGGATAATAAGATGATCTAACGCTTCTTCTTAACTTGAGACTTTCACTTTCTACTTCATGTTAGTCGGTAGCTGACAGGATTGAACCGAATAAAATATTTATTAAAAAAAACTTTAACGTAGTAGTTTAAGTTAATATTTAAGGCTCTGTTTAGTAATAGAGATTGAAATAGCGTTTAGTGTTTTAATTGGGTCAAAATAATATTATTAATTAACATGGCATTGGATAATATAACATTTATCCTAGTGTTTAGAGTTTGAGGCAGTGTTAATGTTATATTACTAATATTTACCGTTTTACACTTATCAATTAACATTTTTTTTGACACTTATACCCTTAATTTAAAACCTTTCGCTTATTCCATCTAAAAAAAAAAAAGAAAAAAGAAAAACCTTTCGTTTATCAGTTGGGGGAATCCCTATGTGAGTATATGCAAGAGATCGATATGGCTTTATTAAATACTTAATCTCGACATTAATTAAAATAATTATTACGATAAAAATTGTATTATTTTACACAATAAATTTAAATAAAATAATTTAATAATGGATTAATAAAAGAAAATATGAGAAAATTGTCTTATCATTTTAGAAACAATAGTGATTATAGTTTATATATTTCGGCTGTATACATAAATTCATATTTTTGAGACAGAAAAATAATAACACACATTAACCTTCTCTGTGTGTGTATAATAATGTGCATATAGAAAACATCTTTTTTTTACCTTTCATTTATTTTTATGGCCATAAGTTAACACTCTAAGCTAGTATTCTAATATCTGTTTTTGTCATTTTAAATTTAACAGCATCAACGGTTATTTTATGGAACACTTTCGCTTTACACCATTAGATAAATAGCTAACAGCTAACAACTAATATCTAACAACTAACAGCTACTAAAACAATTAATAACTATTAAATTAGCTAATAACTATTAAGAGTCTGTTAGGCAAAATTAGCTGTTTTACTAGTTGTTAGCTATTTTAATAGCGTTTAGCTTAGCTGTTTGAGTAGCTTTTCATAAAGCGTTAAAAGCTAAAAGTTATATGCGTTAGCTTTTTATAAAACGCTACCTTAATCTCTAAAAGCCAGTTCAAATATTATGTTACTAAACACTATAAAAAATAAAGTTTAATCAAAATGCTAAAAACAAACTTAAAAAAAGTCGTTGCCGAATACAACCTAAAATAACTAGTATTACTGAACAGGCCCTAAGATTCAAAAGTTTAAAATTCACTTCTTACTTGTGTTCGCGTTAAATTGCATTTGTAAATTTTGTCTTAATAGTTTGATCTGTTTTGATTATTATGACTAAATGTTTAAATATACCCTTCAATTTTACAATCTTAATTTAGTGGCATCATAAATTTTGATGAGATCCTATAATTATGCATCTAGAGTTATATATTTTAGTAACATCACACACTTTTTCAAATATCAGCAATCATTTTTACGATTTTTGGCTTTTATAATCCCTTCATTCATAAATATAAGTGGTTTAAAATTATTGTATGGTAATTAAGAAAACTATTAATTATTCTAAATTATTATAAAATGTTCATTAATTTGATTAAACATTACCCTTTATAAAATTATAGAGATAAGGGTTAAATATTTTCGGATCTCTAAATTATAATCAAATTAACACTTAGGTCCCTCAACGTTTGAGTAATTATTTTGAAGGACCTAAATAATGATGTCGTTACATTGTGAGGTCCTTCCATCCAAATTCCTACACTTTTTTCCGTTTATATGACTGAAAAGCGAATAATTACCAAATGTTGAGAGACCTAAGTGCTAATTTAATTAAATATTAGGGACTATCAAATTAACACTTAGGTCCCTCAACGTTTGAGTAATTATTTTGAAGGACCTAAATAATGATGTCGTTACATTGTGAGGTCCTTCCATCCAAATTCCTACACTTTTTTCCGTTTATATGACTGAAAAGCGAATAATTACCAAATGTTGAGAGACCTAAGTGCTAATTTAATTAAATATTAGGGACTCAAAAATATTTAACCCCCACTTAATATTTGTTTTTCGGTATATAAACGGAAAAAAAGGTAGAAATTTGGATGGAAGGGCCTCACAGTGTAACAACAGCATTATTTAGGTCCTTTAAAATAATTACTCAAACGTTGAGGAATGTAAGTGTTAATTTGGTCATAATTTAGGGATTCAAAAATATTTAATTCTAGAGATAATTATTGCATTTTAAAAAATAAGGGTAACGTTAGAAATATAATTAGTTTACTCCTTGATATTCTAAAAACTACTTATATTTTTGTGCATAAATACCTATCTTAAAACGAGTTATATTCGTGGATAGAGGGAGTATAAAGTATTAGTTTGATGTATCGTTGGAATAACTTTTTTAAACAATGATTTTCACATTTTTTAACTATTTAATAAGTGTTTGATCAATCCAATTTTACTAGTATAGTAAATTTATATTAGGTCATAAACCTTATAAATCACTTAAATAGCTCTTCAATTCAAACTTAAACATTTTAATTTATAACATTCACTTTAATCTCACTTAGTCATTTTTGGCATAGAAATTTCAATTTATGAAATTAAGAGGAATTTAGGATAAATCAAGCAGTAATCTTTATCCGAAAAGCTCTTAGATAAACTTCTACAATCTGCACCTTCTCTTTTCCTTTCTTTCTCTTATAACCCTCTCCTTGCACTTAAACTTGATCATTATGGATACTATTC